CGTTTTCTTTCTGTACTAAGTCTAATGTTACTCTAGGAACATAACATAATAAGATAAATGAAAAATGCTTTTGCCTATTCTTCTCCCATTTGGTTCAAATTATAAAATTTTAAAATCTTGAAGACTTTAATTTTTTGAAGAATTTATGATGGCTCTAGTTCTAAATCATTGTAGTAATCCTACAAGATGGGAGAAGAAGAAGTTTTGTAGTATCTTGGAATGCATAAATGGACATGTAGAAAAAGATGAGTTGCCCTGTATCAGGGCTGTTTGTAACCTGTTACATATGTATTGTTCACTTGTTACATAGCATTCCACAGTATAGATGTTCTAAGGCTCATGATCAGACACTGTAGTTGGCCACAGTCCTTATTTTCAAGTTCTCGGTAGTTGTTAGAATATCAGTCTTCATAAGTGGATATTTGTGGGCAATTTTTTGTTGTCCTTTGAATGTTTTCCTTAAAGACTTTCTGAATTTAAAAACATTAATTGCACAAAGTAATTGTACAGTAGTCTGAGCACAAATATATCAAAGTGTTTATATTATTTATAATGTTTATCTCTATTTTGGATTCTCTCTGGTTTTGACTTTATTGCTATCACCTAGGGATTTCTTTTCCCTCCAGTGAGAGGGAGGCACAGAGAGAAAGGTCTTCCTTCCGTTGGTTCACTCCCCAAGTGGCCCGCCACGGCCGGAGCTGCACAGATCTGAAGCCAGGAGCCAGGTGCTCCCTCCTGGTCTCCCACGCAGGTGCAGGGCCCAAGCACTTGGGCCATCCTCCACTGCCTTCCCGGGCCACAGCAGAGAGCTGGACTGGAAGAGGAGCAGCTTGGTCTAGAACCTGTGGCCATCTGGGATGCCGGTGCCGCAGGTGGAGGATTAACCAAGTGAGCCACGGCACCAGCGCCACCTAGGGATTTCAAGACACTGTACACTCCCCCAAATATATTGTACCCTCAAGAACTATTTTTGAACGGTAATTAAAGTTTATGTCTATTTTTGGATCAATTATTTGGTTATTTTATTTGAAAAGCAGAGCAACAGAGATAGAGAAAGATGGAGGGGCCGGCGCCGTAGCGCAGTAGGTTAATCCTCTGCCTGAAGCGCCAGCATCCCATATGGCTGCCGTTCTAGTCCGGGCTGCTCCTCTTCCAATCCAGCTCTCCGCTATTGCCTGGGAAAGCAATGCAAGATGGCCTGAGTCTTTGGGTCCCTGCACCCACGTGGGAGACCTGGAAGAAGTGCCTGCCTCCTGGGTTTGGATCAGCACAGCTCTGGCTGTTGCAGCCATTTGGGAAGTGAACCAACGGAAGGAAGACCTCTCTCTCTCTCTCCCTCTCACTGTCTGTAACTCTAACTTTCAAATAAAATAAATAAAATCTTAAAAAAAAAAAAGAGAGAGAGAAAGATGGAGAGAAGGGAGGAATCTCTCATCTGCTGATTCATTCTCCACAACAGCCACAGTTATCAGCCAGGCTGTAGCCACAAGCCAGGAAATTCCATCTGGGTCTCCCACATGAGTGTCAGGGGCCCAAGTATTGAGCCATCCTCCACTGCTTTCCCAGGCTTGTTAGCAGGGAGTCGAATGGCACGTGGAACTGTGAGGGTTCAGACTGGCATTCTGCCAATATGGGATGTCAGCACTGCAAACGGCTGCCTGATCTGCAGTGCAATGCCAGCCCCTGTTGATTTCTACTTGGTTGCAAATGAGAGTATCATTATGCTGTAAAAAAATGTATTACCCTTATACCTCTCAGCATATTTAGTAGCATTTTTTTCAACTGTAAGTTTTGCTAAATATTATAAATGTTAAATATGAAAACAGGGATTTATGGCTAATTGAGTGGTAATCAAATGAGTTGTGTTTATCACAAACATTCCACATGGTAGTTTAATCTCATCACTATAATTAAGAGCACATCATTACTTTTATTCAAACTCCCCATTCTCTCTGCCCTTATGGCCTTTTGCTTTTTTGAAATAGATGTTCCTCCAGATAGATATTTGAAAAATAGTGCATTTGTTGCCAAGATTTATCTTTCAAGGGGTTTAAAACTAATTAAACAATTAAAAATGCAACATCCTATTTTTCATTTCATAGCAACAAGAAAATAAATAGACTCAATACTTTGAGACACACATATGAAAAGGAACTGAATGTGTTGTGTTATCTTGCTATTTAGTCTATCAGTTACTACTCTTTTCAGTGTTACCTTGGCCATGCTGGATTTCCCAGGACAAGAAATTAATGTATTACCATTTTACTGTCATATTTTCCAATTGTCAATACCCCTTTTGTTTCAGTGCTAAGAATTAACTAGATAGTTTTGTCATACAACATTTTTCTTCATATTTTCTTTATATACATTGAAATGTGCATATTTTGTGTGCAAAATTTTGTAAGTTTTGACAAGTACATGTAACATTCTAAGCAATATTCCAGTCAAGGAACAAAACGTTTCAGTGATTCCAAATGTTTCCCCCTGCCCATTCATGTCAGTGCACTGCCCCAAAGCTATTCCTTTTCTATCATTTTTGTTTACTTACTGTTGAGTACTGTCAGCTCTCCATATCCATGTGTTCTACATCTGTGAGTTCAACCAATCATGAATAAAAATATTAGGGAAAAAAACTGTGTATGTAATGAATATGTACAAACTTTGTTTTTTGTTATGATTCTCAAATAATAGAGTATGACAATTACTTATATAACATTTGAATGTATTAGGTTTTAAAAGTAATCTAGAGATAATTTAAAACATATGAGAGAACGTGCATTGGTTATAAGACAGTACTCCATCGTTTTGCATAAGGGTCTTATACAAAAACGTATACAGATTTTGGCGAGTAATGGGGTCCCATTACCAGCCTTATGAATACTGAGGGTCAGGTGTATTTATAAAATTTACTTGTGCATTATCTTTTAATGTTCATTTGAACTGCTTTCAGTGTTGGGGCTAGTAAAAATAAAGTTATCAGAAATCTTTTTATTTACATTTTTTGTTGTCATAAATTTTCCCACCTCTTTTAAAGATATCTAAAAATCAAATTTTTGGGTCAGAAGACAGTTGTATGGTTATCTTCATAAGAATGTGCCAAAGAATTTTCCAATGTGGTTGACATATTTTATACTCTTTGAAGCAACGTAAGGAGTTCTAGTTTTATATAATCTAGCCAACATTTGTTATTATTGACCTTTTTAAAATATTAGCCATTTTAGTGATTATGAAGCAGCGACTCACTGCATTTTTAATTTGTTTTTACCTGTTTACTAATGATGTTGTATATCTTTTGATGATGATGTATATCTTACTGGTTTCTCACATTTCTTTTTTTGAGGTGTCTGTTTAATTCTTTAGTTGGATTTTTTTTAGGATTCGTTTATTTATTTGAAAGGCAGAGTTACAGAGACAGAGTGGCGGGGGGCGGGGAGAGGGGAGGGGGAGGGGGAGGGGGAGGGGGAGGTAGGTCTTTCCTCTTTGGTTCACTCCCTAAATGGTTGCAATGGCCAGAGCTGGGCTGATCTGAAAACAGGTGTCTGGAGCTTCTTTGAGGTCTCCCACATGGGTGCAGGGGCCCAAAGACTTGGGCCATTTTCTACTGCTTTCCCAGGCCATTGCAGGGAGCTGGATTGGAAGTGGAGCATCTGGGACTGGAACAAGCTCACATAAGGGATGCTGACACTGCAAGCGGTGGCTTTACACACTACACCACAGTGCTGCCCCCTTTTAATTTGATTTTTAATTTAGTTTATTTGTCTCTTTAAGATTTCATATATATTCTGTATATAATGTTTCAGAAACTTATTTATGCATGTAATGCAAATTTTTGCTTGATCTATAGTTTATTTTCTTAGTATTGTTTCACACAGTGTTTTAATTTTGTATGAGATCCAATTTGCTATTTTAGGGTTAATATATTTCATTTTAACTTTAGGAAGACTACTCAAGGTAAAGGAGATAAGCCACGATGTATTCTTCTAAACATTTTATGATCTAGGTTTCATGTTTATGTGCATGATACATCTTAAATCGGCTAATTTTTCCCATGTTTACCCATTTGTTATACCACTATTTATTTAAAACAGTTTCCTTTTCCTATTGAGTTTACTTGGTTTCTGATGACAGCACCACACTGTTTTAGTTACTGCAACTTTATAATAAATTTTTTTTTGACAGGTAGAGTGGACCTTGAGACAGAGAGAGACAGAGAGAAAGGTCTTCCTTTGCCTTTGGTTCATCCTCCAATGGCCGCTGCGGCCAGCGCATCGCGCTGATCCGAAGGCAGGAGCCAGGTGCTTCTCCTGGTCTCCCATGGGGTGCAGGGCCCAAGCACTTGGGCTATCCTCCACTGCACTCCCGGGCCATAGCAGAGAGCTGGGCTGGAAGAGGGGCAACCGGGACAGAATCTAGTGCCCCGACCGGGACTAGAACCCAGTGTGCCGGTGCCGCAGGTGGAGGATTAGCCTATTGAGCCGTGGTGCCAGCTCTTTATAGTAAATCTTGAAACCGGAGAGTGATAGTCTTCCAATATTGTTTTTCATTTTAAGGATCATATAGAATTTTACATTCTAAAAATTGTACATAAACTTTAGAACAGTTTATCTTTAACAAAGCCTGATGTACTTCTGAGTGATTACAATGACTATAAAATCAATTTATGAACCTCATTTTAGTTCTATTTTGATTTTATTTCTGACTATTATTTTTTGTTTTTAGTATAGCCATTTTGTATGTATTTTGTTAGATTTATTTTGAGGATATATTATTTTTTATATTATTTTAGGAAATTTTTTTCCAGAATATATTTTGCAATTGTTGTCTGAGAGCATAACTGATTATACACATTGACTGTCTATTCTTTGGTTTGCTCATTCTGCATATTTTATATATTCATTGTGGTTTTCTATGTATATGAATGTAATATTTGCAAATAATGATGGTTTTACTTATTCCCCAAATTTTATATTTATCACCTTTTTTGTCATTTTGTTGTACAGGTTAGAATTTTTTGTGCAGTGTTTAACAGAAGGGATGATAGTGCATATGCCTTAAGTCGTTCACAATGTAAGTATAAAGATTTTCATTCACTGTAAATTTACTGCTGGTAGTAGGTTTTCCATTTGGACTTTGATGATACTGAAATTTTTTTCTTTGATTCTTAGTTTGATGATAAGTTTGTTCGTTTACTGAAGTGATCATATGATTTTCCTGTGATTTTTTCCCCCAATATTTAGTTGAACTATACAACCTTTGATATAACCTTCTAACTTGTAGCTTCTTAGCACTCATCCTTACCATGTATTGTGCAGTCCTCCCTTCAAATACTCAGTTCAACCCCAGCTATGAACCTGAGTGGTTACCCTTGACATTTCTACCCCTACTTTCCCTTTGCTGGTTCCTTGATGGCAGTACCTTGCAAACCACAGCGCCTTCATATGTGGGAAGTCCTTTCTCTACCTCTTGAGCTTAGGAGATAGCCTGAGTCGTCTTGGTTGGTGATGGTGAAATGCTCCTAGGCAGAAATCTGGAGCCATTGTGGGGCTCACTTTGTGTGTATCCCTTCTCTCCAGGGTTGCAGCACTGGGTTACATGTTGTTCAATGACTTCATGAACATGACAGGTAGTGGAAGACAGCATGAAAGGGAAAAGAATTTAGAAGTATAAAATGAGCCTCACATATGAAAATGGAAATGTGATCATGTGGAGAAACCCGATGCTTAACTGACTTATTAACAGTGTGAGGTGCCTGGTACTGGGTATAGAGAAGCTAAGCTAGAGTTGGACTTGAACATCCCAGTGTTCTCTACTTTGAAAACTGCAGAGCATCATCATATGTGTATTTTGATAGTGATGTTGTACTATGGAAATCACTAAGTATACAGAAAGTTATTGCTGGTCTTGGAGGAAATATACATGATTTTAGGAGTTGTAAACTCGATTTAATTTTCCAAAATTCAATATTCTCATCTGTTGAATAAAGACAGTATTATTTGCCTTCCAAAATTGGTGTGAGTATTCCAGATAATGTTTGTGTTAGCAACTTCATGCTTTGTCTAGAATTTAGCAGAATATCATTAGATGATGCTGATGATAATGGTAAGTGTTTTATAAGCTAAGAAACAGTAAACTTTCTGGGTGTATGTGCTCTAAGGAGGGGTCACTAACTTATTTACAGTTTTCCTGGCACTGCTTAAAACAGGCTGGTAAAAATGCTATCTGGATGAAATCCATGGAAATCTGTTTAACTCTGCTCCTGGCCTTTTTAATCAATTCATCATGGAAAGTGCCTTATGGAAAGCATCGAGTACAGTTATTACCCTACTGCACAATCCTTCTTTCATATTTTGATTCCATAAATGTCACATCTTTGATGACTTTAAAAGTAATCTTTATGGGAAGTGCATTGCTTAATATACAGCACTAAAGAAATCCCTCCTACCTCCACAAACAATCGTATATTTATGGTGAAGGGGGAAAAAGAATGCTGTTTTTCTCTCTAAACAACAAGGCCACAGAATACAAAGCGGAGGAATAAATATTTCTAGAGAAATGAGGTAATTAGAACAATTAGGAGCAAATACAGAGTAATTACAGTGCATTTTTCTTTTAGCTATTTCTATAGTGAAAGTTCTGGGGCAGGGATTATACATGTGCCGGCTTCAGCATTGGGTGCACTAGTGGCACTCAGAAAAAAAGAGGTTGCAAGTAAATTTTGCTAATGTATCCAAGGAGAATTTATTAGGGAAAAGGTATTCCACATATGTAGCTTAATAAGGATTGTCATTTACAGAAATTGAAAAGCTAATTTTTCAATCTTTAGGTTATCCCACTGAAAAACATAAATCATTATGAAGCAATTATGAATCATTATGTATTTTCTGAAATCCACATGTTTGGTAGATCTTTGGTATTTGATGCATCAGAAGAAAAATGAGTGAAGATAAAATATATGCCTATGTCTATACATAATTAATATAGTGTGGCCAATATAACATTCTTTCAAGGATTACAAATGGATTTTAAAAATAAATCATTTTAGCTAAAAAAAAAGTAACTAAATCAGGGAAAGATGGAATAACAATATCTGCTTTATATAGATAAGGTTACTTTAGCTCAGTTAGACAATTAACTTTTTGGTAATGAAGTATATTTAATGCTCCCACCTAACACGAGTAGTTTTTTTTTAAGATTTTTTTTTATTTATTTGAAAGAGTTACAGAGAGAGGTAGAGACAGAGAGAGAGAGAAAGAGAGAGAGACAGAGGTCTTCCATCTGCTGGTTCATTTCCCAAATGACTGCAATGGCCAGAGCTGAGCTGATCTGAAGCCAGGAGCCAGGATCTTCCTCCGGGTCTCCCACACAGGTGCAGGGGCCCAAGGACTTGGACCATCTTCTACTGCTTTCCTAGCCATAGCAGAGAGCTGGATCAGAAGTGGAGCAGCAAGGACTCAAGCTGGCGCCCATATTGGAAGCCAGCGCTGCAGGCCATGGCTTTAACCTGCTGTGCCACAATGCCAGCCCCACATAAGTAGTTTTAAAAAGAATATTACTTTGTCCTTTGTGAGAAATAGAAAGCCACCTGCAGCAGAGACAGTGTGTGGAAGGCTAAAGAAGGGAGAAGGAGAAAGTTAATTGCACTTTCATGACTGAAATCCTCCAAGAAATGGCTCAGGCTCATCAGAAAGGAGAAAGAGGAGCTCTGGGAATTCCCTGTGGAGAGGTGGAGAAGTAACTTTTTTTTTTTTTTAATTTTTTAGACAGGCAGAGTGGACAGTGAGAGAGAGAGACAGAGAGAAAGGTCTTCCTTTGCCGTTGATTCACCCTCCAGTGGCCGCTGCGGCCAGTGCGCTGCGGCCGGCGCACCGCGCTGATCCGATGGCAAGAGCCAGGTGCTTCTCCTGGTCTCCCATGGGGTGCAGGGCCCAAGCACTTGGGCCATCCTCCACTGCACTCCCTGGCCACAGCATAGAGCTGGCCTGGAAGAGGGGCAACCGGGACAGAATCCGGCGCCCCAACCGGGACTAGAACCCGGTGTGCCGGTGCCGCAAGGCGGAGGATTAGCTTAGTGAGTCGCAGCGCCGGCCAAGAAGTAGCTTTAAAAACTAGTAATACATCTATTTGAAGATTATTTCCTGATGGAGCAGCAAAGTAGTATTCCTCTATGCTCCCAAAGCCTAAATAAAATTTACTAAATGCCACAATATTGTATCAGTATTTTGCTTAAAAAAAATTAAAGGGAGTGACACTTCTGCAAAGGTGAATGAAGGGAAGGTGAGAAGAGAAAACCAAATCTAGAGGCATAAATGACTAGAAGAATGCATGTAAGCCTTTATAGTGCCCACTATGGCAGCCATACGCAGATGTCCTTACAAAGGTGTCGGACTTCCCAACCCTGTGTGGAGTAGACTTGAGCTATTTAGTTACGTTACAAAGATGTGAATGAAGCAGAAGACTGGTGTTCTTTGTTAGTATAATAGTAAGAAAGAAGTAATGCCATACTTTTTGTTTGATTAATGTTTAGAGAGATAATTAAAGGATTGCTTTTAAAAATGTATACTTCTTGGGCCGGTGTTTTTGCATAGAGGGTTAAGCTGCTGCCTATGATGCTAGCATCCCATATGACTTACTGCTGGTTTAAGTTCTGGCTGCTCCAGTTCAAATCCAGCTGCCTGCACGCAGAGAAAGCAATGGAAGATGACCCAAGTGCTTGGACCACTATCAGCCATGTGGGAAACTCAGGTGGAATTCCAGACTCCTGACTTCAGCCTGGTCCAGCCCTGGCCTTTGTGGCCATTTGGAGAGTGGACCATTGAGTAGAAGATCCCTTCCATCTTCCCTCCATCTGTCTCTTTCCATCTCTCTCTCCACATCTCTCTTTTTCTGTCTCTCTCTCTCTCTGTTTGCCCATCTTTCTGTAACTCTGCCTTTCAAATAAATAAATCTTCAAAAATATATCCTTCTTTACATAAATTAGCCTAACATAAATCTGACAATCAAGATAGGAGAATGAGAAATCCACAGGTTTATTAAATCAATCACATGTTGCTTATATATTAATGGATATACAAAATGTTTGAGGTAGGCTACTTCTGTTAGTTTGGTCATGAATTCTTATAATGTCTTGTATGCCATTAAATGCTTTAGCAAGTAAAAAAGAAAAGTAATTATGTTCAGCTCTAAATATTTACATGATTTTACATGTATAATTAATGGAGAAAGCTCCAACTAGATGTAAGCCAGTTTCATGGAGAAATACTGACTGATTTTGTTTGGGAATAAAATGTCAATGAGGGGTTTGACGAGGTAAATAGGCTGCAACATAGGCATCCTATGCATCCTAGATGTGTCAAAATAGCCTAAAATATTTTTAAGCAATGGTTTCTATGCAGGTGCCACAGGCATTTTTTGTCTTTCAAAATAATATAAGCAGCATCATTATTTCAAATTTCCATAAAGTGCTAAATGACAATTAGTTTATGTTATGAATTAATCCCTCACACAATTAATATTTTAACTTAGATGTGCTGATGAGAGATGTAACCCAAGACAGTAAACATTAGTTTAATATTTATAAAAATTAAGCTAGTGAAAGCAGTCATTTTGATTTGCAAAAAAAAAAAATCCCTTTTCATATTGATTAGCTAAATCCCATCTCAGCTTGTGTATTAGCCAAATTTAAAATGATGACAACTAACCGAGCACCAAAAAGGAAACCTGTTGAAGTGAAATGAACACTGTGAGAAACAATCACTTGATCAGCCTTTGTCCTGACTGTCGAGGAACAACTTAATACTTTATCCCTTTTAGTATTTTTTTTGTTCTACTTAATAATATTGGTTGAACTCTTTAACACACAATTACTCTTAGGTGTTTAAATTTAACTGAAAAGTGATAATAGTGGGAATAAGAGAGGGAGGAGATGTACATTTTGGCACATGCTCAATCAGACTTAGCTCTAATGGTAGAGTTAGAAACATACCAGGGGATTCCAATTCAATCCAAGCAAGGCGGCGTGTACCAATGCCATCTCACTAGTCCAAGTGATAAGTTTCAGTCCATAATTGATCATAATGATAGGATTAAGAGTCAAAGGGATCACATAAATAAGACTAGTGTCTGCTAATACTAACTGATAGAATTAAAAAGGAGAGAACGATCCAACATGGGAAGTGGGATTCACAGCAGAGTCATAGAATGGCAGATATCCTAAACAGCACTCTGTCCTCAGGTCCTCAGAATCAGCCCTTAAGGCATTCAGATATGGCTGAAAAGCCCATGAGAGTATTTCAGGCATGGAAAGCCAAGACACTCTGGCAAAAAAAAAAAAAAAAAAAAAAAAAGAAAGAAAGAAAGAAAGAAATGACCTAAATGAAAGATCTCTGTGAGTGAGATCCCAGTGGAAAGAACGGGCCATCAAAGAAGGAGGTACCTTTCTCTGAAGGGAGGAGAAAACTTCCACTTTGTCAATGACCTTGTCTAAATAAGATCAGAGTTGGTGAACTCAAAAGGCTTCCATAGCCTTGGCAACTCATGACTAGAGCCCAGGGTGATTACTGACTCTATAAACAAGAGTGTCAATTGTTAAATCAATAACAGGAGACACTGTGCACTTACTCACCATGTAGGATCTCTGTCCTTCATGTGTTGTACAATGTGAATTAATGCTATATCTAGTACTCAAACAGTACTTTACACTTTATTTTTCTGTGTGGGTACAAATTGTTGAAATCTTTACTTAATATATGCTAAAATGATCTTCTGTATATAAAGATAATTGAAAATGAATCTTGATGTGAATGAGACGGAGAGGGAGCAGGAGATGGGAGGGTTGTGGTGGGAGGGAAGTTATGAGGGGAAAAAAGCCACTGTAATCTAAAAGCTGTACTTTGGAAATTTATATTTATTAAATAAAAGTTAAGAAATAGTTAATGAAGGTAAAGTTAGAGAAATGTCATTAATCTTTTTATATTTTAATTCATTTAATTATCTTTTGTGCATGGTTTGTTATGTTTTCTGGGCACTTTCAACACAAAAAAGTTTCTCAGTCTGGTATTTTTTCCAGTAAAGCAATTCTCAAATTGTTAAAAAAAAAAAAAAAAAAAAAAACTGTGATGATCCAAATATTCAAACCTACCAACTGTCTCATATTGTTTTTTTAGGTGATCAAATAAAATAAACCAAATATAAAATTCCTCTTAAAATTTACACTAAAATGCTATTTTTGTAATGATTGCTACCTGGCATAGAATTTGGTATTATGGCGGAATATTGATTCTTGACACACATTTGGTGACAGATGGAGCAATGTGCTTTAGTCAGGAGCACAGGTTTGTTTATCAGGCAGTTTAAAGTTTAGATCATGACTTCACTAGAAGAATCCTTGGGGTAGTCATTTAACTTCCTTTGCCTTTGCTTCCTCAACTAAAAAATGAGAGTTAAGTAGCCTTCTGCCGGTATGAATGGGAGAATCAGAAATACACACAAAAACACACACAAAACAACACAAGTATATAATATCTTACATCTATGGGACCCTTAATAACAGGGGTGGTTATTAAATCAGAGATGAAATAGTCTAACATTTAATATTTTTCTTTTATAATGATTTTTTTTTCTTTTTTAACAATCGTGACTATGACCTATGATTGATTCATATAACAGAAAAAGAACTTGAGGTGGACATTATGGTGAAATGTATTAAATTGTCACTTGGTCTCCCTAATCCCATATCATAGTTTTGGCCTGAGTCCTATTCAGCTTCCCATGGAGCTGTCTGTGCCTTGGAAAGCCATGGATGATGATAGCCCAAAGTCTTGAGTTCCTGGCTCCTGGGTTGGGCCTGGCCCAGTGCTGGCTGTTGGGGTTTTGCGAAGTGAAGTAGAGGATAAGAGATCCCTTTATTTCTATATCTCCTTTTTCAGTCTATCACTCTTGTTTTCAAATAAAAAATAAATCTTAAAAAAGCCATACACTTTTTATAATGATTTCAAGTAAACTTTAGCTTTCTCTGTTATAATCACATTTTCTTTTATTAATTTAAAAATTATTCACTTATTTTCATTTTTGTTTAAAAGGCAGGGAGACAGACTGACCAAAAAAATTTAACACCTGCTAATTCAATCTCCAAATGCTTAGAACAGCCACAACTTGGGCCAGGCCAAAGCTAAGAGGAACCTGTAACTCAATCTGATTCTCCAGTGTCATTGACATTTGAGCCATGATCTCCAATTGTGTGCCTGAGCATGAAACTGGAATTGGAAGCCTAGCCAGGCCACAAAGCAGGCACTGTGATTTGACATTCTGGTGTCCCAAGCTGTGCCTTGACCTCTGTGCCAACCCCCCTATGTTTGTATATTCTAGCTAACTAGAAAGTCTAATACATTTATATATTTAGTATGCTACAGACAATCCCCAACTTACAGTGCTTCAATTTAATTATTTTCAGCTTTATAGTGGTGCCAAAATTCACTAGAAAATTTTACTTCGAAATTTGATCTTTCCCTGGGCTAGCAGCATGCAGTAGCACAAAATCATAGTGTACTGTGTGACTAAGCTGTGATATTCAAAGTAGTTTTAGTACAGTTAATTAAAAGCATTTTGGGGCTCATGATAATTTCAACTTACCATGGGCTTATTGGAATGTAATTCCATTATAAATGCAAGGTCATCGGTATTTCAAATGAAGTAATATGCCAAAATATAGCTTACTACATTTGTCCCAAACCTAATCCATTAAATTAGCATGCTAAAATATGGATCATTAGATTATTCTTTTTTTTTCTTTTTGAATTTTTAAAATATTTCTAAAAATAAAAGTAAAAAATACCATAATGTTAATTGTTAATTTTGTCTTGCTATCTTTTAGAACTATGGCTTTCTCACAATTGCTTAAGTACATCTGAAAGTTTGGAGTATCTTGCACCTTGAAAAGACCCTGCTAAATTCATGTTAGACTATATTTACCACTTACTTGCGGTCAGTGTTTATCAACAAATTTGTTTTTTTAGAAAATAAGGCAAATGGAAAATAATAATTATTGAAGAGCTAAAGACAAGAATATAACTGGGCATGTCTTAGAAGGCATTGCACAGAGTACCAGACCACTGGGACACTGGGACAGTACAGAGCCCTGGGCGGTGGCTGTGAGGAGTCATCTGGGATGTGACAGGTGGTGTGGCTGCAGGACAAAGGCTTCCTTTTGTTTCACAAATTTCCTTCTCAGTATTTTTCTTGTTCACTATCTCTAAAGTCTGGAAATGCTAGAGAGGCTTATCCAAGGCTGCAAGAAGGCAAAAGAGAGAGTCTGAGAAACCTAGTTGTCATCTGCACAGAGAGATGGAAAGATGGCTGAGTACAAGTAGAGATGACAATGTAAACATCTCAATGAGATACCACTTACTTAGTCCAGCATCACAAACTTTAAGAGACATAAGAAAAGTAGTTAATGTTTAAATAACCACAAGAGCTCATTCAAAGATTCTGTCTTGAGGAAGAGGTAAAAGGTTTAGAATTCTATCCACTCACCCTTTGTATCTGAGGTAGTATATCTTCTCAAGTCTCTGGCTTTAAGAAAACTTTGAAAATACAGCTAGATTCCCCAAAAGTGTCAGTGTACAATCAGCAAATCATAGTGATCTCTTAAAACTGATTTATAAATTTGTAGATTTTGCTTTTTACTTTGGACATCACAGCCAATCTTTTTTATTACAAAAAAGGGATGCCATGAGACACTGTGAGACTTTTTGAAATAAGCAAAAGAATAATGTGTAACACCAAAATATACCTTAATGTTAAAAACAAACAAATTAAGGCGAGAGATGAATTAGTTGCAATTTATCCTATTAGTCTGGTTTATTATTAAGACTCTGATTTGAAGTACTTAAAATAAAAATAATTTATGCTGTGAAGGACTTGGGAAAATTCCAAGAAAACGTTGGGCGAATACTGTTCATTGTTATTGGGATCGAGTTGCCTCCTTATTATTTCCTGTTGATGACAAGCCTGCATGTACTTTTTGTTTTAGCACTTCTCTGGATGAAACCCTTTGTTAATATAAGAGATAATTTACAATGCAGCTTAAATTTTTAAAAACATATTTTAAAATGTGACTTCTGGCATTTAATAATATATATTGAAAATATTTGATACTTATATTTTTTCCACCTGTTGGGAACTTGAGTCATTTGTAGTACCTAAAATTATGGGAGAAAACAAAGTGATTATACTTTAGTCTTGCTGTTTTATTACATTTCATAAAGTGTAAAGATTTCAAAATACATAAATTATTGAACAGCTAGACATAGTTTTGTATATATTACTTTCATGCCAATGGACATCTAAGAAGTGCTATACTGACTAGATAAATTGACCATCATTTTCTTAAAGAAGGTGCTCATATGCTTTCAACATATGCCAGCATGTTTTAGAAAAAATCTAGTATATGAGAAATGGCTGCCAAAAGCTGAAGGTGCCGTGAGACCAAAGAATGGACAAATCCAAGAATACACAGAATGTAATTTACTGATGTGACTTACAGATAGCAATCTGGCCTCAGGCGACTGTGAGACATATGGATCACTGTGCCCTAGCCAATAGAAAAAGGCTTGTATGGACAAAATCCTAATTAGAATGCATCCAGACTTTCTCAAGAAATGCTAACTTCCCAGACATTAGATAAGGGACATTCTAAGGTCTTGCCCAGCAAAGCAATCTCAACAAGTTATCTTGTGACTTTGTTTCAAATAAGGTTTGGGATGACCTCCAGGGTCACCTCAAGGATAAGAAAGCTATTACTTGTAAGATGGCTGTTATCGTGTCAAGCTTTATATATTCCCAACAGATGAATCTGGGTGGCATTGTCCCTGCTCTTTCTGCAGCCTTAATTGTTTTGCGTGGAACACACCTGTATAGCACCAACCTCTTAGGTAAGTTGAGCTCTTTGTTTACCCAAAGGCTGACGGTTGGAAAGGGCAAGGAATAATCTAGTGCCTGGCATTGACTATGCCAAACTGTGACCTTGACAGTGAGGAGAGAGGCAAGAGAAGCACAAAAACAACAGAACAACTGGGACTTCATCTTTAAGCCTTTAGTGAGGCTGGTTGCCCTGAACATAAGCCCAGTCTTAATTGGCCAAATCTCCAATCTTTTAGTCATCAGATAGAAGGTGTTGCATATTTGTATATATTCAGTTTAATAAGACTGTGCTCTTTTGAAAATTGCTATCTCAAATGACTTAAATAAATGTTTTGACATTTAAAGAGCTAAAGTTCAGTTCAGTTGAATACCACATGGCCTGAGAAAAAGATAATTACCATATACTGTAGCAGTGTTACAAATGCTATCCACAGTGTGCAAAACTTTTTAAAGTTTTCTATTCTCGTTTTATTTGAAAGATATATAGTGTGTGTGTGTGTGTGTGTGTGTGTGTACAGTTGGGGGATGATAGAGAAAAATCCCTCATCTGCTAATTGCCTCTCCGAATGTCCATAACAATCAGGAATGGGCAAGGCTAGAGCCTAGAGCCCAGAAATAGATCTGGGCCTCCCATGTGGGTAGCAGGGTTCCAAACTTGAGCCATCATTTGCTGCCTCCAAAGATGTACATCGGCAGGAAACTGCAAGGAAAGCAGAGGAGCCAAGACTGGCACCAACCACTACGATGTGAGATGTGGATGCTCCAAGAGGTGACCTAGTTGATGTGCCAAATGGCCCCCAAACCTTTTTCTTGTCCAGAAAATAACTGTTGGCTTTTCCACATCTCTAAATCACACACACCCTTTATTCAGCATTATTTTTCTTAGTCCTTTAGAGGCAAACCATGGGTAAACAACGACAAAAAAGTCCAAAATAAAGGTTACATTTGGTTAATTAAGATAGGATTAAGTTTAAAACCATTGAAATATTTTCTTCAGAATTTACTGTTTATACAAAATGATTTAACAAAACCTCCCCGGTTCTATTTTTGGCTAGATACTAACTAATTATCATTATACTTATATGAGAACTAAGCTTTGCCACTTCCTAAGTAAGAGTTATTAAAATGAAAATCTAAGAAATGAAAAGGAGGGGGACATATTCACACACTAGCCACTTACTAAAGCAGTGTTTCTCAAGGGCAGGGAGTAAAATCCTATGTGGGGATGACAGGCTGATAGGAGGCATTTTCAGCTGGAACACACTGAAATTTTCAAAGTACACTGACCAGGGAACACCCTTTTTTGCCTCCCTGTGACTCCCTAAACAAGAACCATAAGATAAACTGGAATCGGCAGTAAGAGGACATTGCCAGGAAATGTCCATTTTGAAACACAGTATTTCATAGTTAATAAAACATCAGCCAAAGGGAACTACATTTCTGATTGGTGATTCAGATTTGTGTCTCGTTTACCCTCTGATTCACCTGCTTGAAATGGGCTTCTCCAGTGGTTTTCAGCTGGAAGGAGAAGGGTTGGAAGAAGATGAATCCCTACAGCTTTATTCCTCCATAATTGTTATTGAATAGCAAATTCCTAGCATACTAGTCCACGAAGCATGGCTTTAATGTTGTACAAGCATCGCTTACTATATGGTCACACATATAACATGATATAGGTATTTTTACTCTTCTTTAAAAATGGAATCTAAAGCTCAGAAAGCTAACAGACCTAAGGCCACACAGCATGCTGGATGGCAGCATAGGGACAAAAAAGTTTGTCTCTACAAAATAATTACTGTTCATCAGAAAAAAACAGCTAAGCCTAAACTATTCTTTACTGAAATTTTTGTTGATAGTGGTAAAAAATTCCCATCAGCTTGTGAAAAGAAATTGTGTATCAATTAATATGTGAGGTACTGAGTGGTGGTATGCACTGGTTTATTCCCACCAGCTCAAAATCCTGAAAGATCATTGAAATGCATTCCATTATTGTTGCCCCATTCTGTGGCAGCACTATTATTATTATGGTTTATACAGGGGTAGAATGGATAGATAATTGGAAAATATTAATTTTATCTAATGAATTAACAACTTAGAAATTAGTTTTTCTTTTATAAGATGAAACTTACTAACATATTCATGCAGTATATGGCATTCATCATTGCTTATTCTTCATCTCATATTGATTTCCATTTAGTTGTAATCATATTTTATTTGAGAAATATTTATTGTGTACTGCTATGGGTGAGGCATTACTGGAGCTGATTGGATTCCTATACGAAGAAAACCCAGCCTCTGCTTTGAATCATTTGCATCCTCATGGAAGTAGAATAAAAAGTAAAATGGTTAAGTGCAGGGAACTGGACACATGCTCTACATGCCTTCATTAAGAAGGTGTTGTATTTGAATTATAAATTTAACTGGCACATTGAGGTAATTTTCAAATACATTAGGTAAACAGAACATTTTAATTAACTAGAAAATTTATTTCTCTTCTGGCAGTGTTGAGTAAAAAGGGATCAAAGTAAATATTATGATGTGCTCTCTTATTTATTCATATTTTTGTGCAGGAAATTTTCTATGGTAATTATCGTTGAGTATGCTTAAACTCTCTTTAGAGTTTTGGGGGCTGGTAATGTGGCGTAGTAGGTTAGGCTGCCACCTGTGAGGCTGGCAACCCATATGGCTGCTAGTTGGAGTCCCAGCTGCTCCACTTCTAATCCAGTTCCCTGCTAAGGAGCCTGGGAGACCAGCAAATGATGGGCCAAATTCTTGGGCCCCTGCACCTACATGGGAGATCTGGAAGAAGAACCTAGCTTTGGCTTGATTGAACCCCAGCCGTTGTGGCCATTTGGAGAGTGAACCAGTAACTGGAAGATTTTTCTCTCTTTCTCTCCTTCCCTAACTCTGACTTTCAAATAAAATAAATAAAATCTTTCTTAAAAACAGGATTTTCATCCACTAAGATGGGTGAAATGTCATAAAAGTAGATTTATTAAATCAGGAGTCTATTTTTGGAAATGCTAGGTTCATGATGAAATGCTTAGCTTAGATGGGTTGTCTAGTAATCAATTCAATTAATGAGTTTGATGTCTTTGAGGAACTCTGGGTTAGTGAAACAAAGTTAGAACATTATTTTAAAATCATAGAGTAAGTATATACAGAGCAGAGAAGATATGGGAAGAAAAAAGTAGAGGTACGAGGACTAAGTAAGTATCAATGGTCAGGATTCACGAGAGAGGGAGAGGAACTGGAAAAGAACATTGAGAAGGAGATCCAGGGGGCAGAAAGCAAGCCCACAAATGGCTAGCTGAAAGAAAAGTGGTGGAATCCTTTAAGCATAGAGGGAGTGGTTAATCATATCAACTTCTGGTGTTTGCTTGAGTAATATGAGTTTTGACCAGTGGATTCATGAGTAACTTGTGTAAGAAGGATTTTAGTGCAGTGAGGTGAAGCTCAAACTGGGACGAATTCAAGAGGGAATGGGAAATGAGAAACTTTAGCAGAGAAAATAACCAACACTTTTGGGTCCTGTATGTTCTTCCATTAAGGCTTCAATGATTATAGTAAGAATGATTTTAGTGGATTTACACTAAAGTGTAACAAAAGCAGACATTTTAGAAATGGGAACAGACCAGATGGGTACTGTCTACTCATTTGGAGATCCATTTTAATTCCATTGAGCTCAGTTATGACTCTGTAGTAATGAGTCTTAAAATACACATTTCATGAAAATCGTATCAAGGTGAAAATATGTTTTACATATATTTTATATGATGGAAACCTATTGTGATGTTTCTTTACAATCTAGTTATAGCACATTTTATAATTCCTTATAATACAACAATAATCTGAGAGGCAGTGTAGCTTAATAGTGGTTAAAGCATAACAATGCAGGAGTTCAAATCTCAGCTCAGCTTTTGTGGGCTCTGTGACCTTGATTAGATGTGAACCTAAGGTTTCTCATTGGTAAATGCAGAAAACAATACTGTCAACCTCATGGTGTGGTCTCAGAGGCTGAATGAATTAATACAGTAATATATTGACAAACAAATCAGGAAAGTGGTATGTAAGAAATGATATATGATTGTAATTACCATTAATCAGTAAGTTTTAAAGAATGATTCCTGACAAGTAGGTAAGGTTCCACAAGATTTGAAATAGAAGTGAACTGATTTCAGTGTTGTGTTTAACATATTTAAGTGTTATATTCTGAATATAAATCCCTTTTTTCCTTTTGATTATAGAACCATCTTCACAGCTAGAGATTACATTTACCATTTTCAGTGTAATTAAGTACAATTATTTTTTTTCTCTGCTATGTGACTAAATTCTTGAATAAGAGATATGAGCAAAGCCTTTCCATTAAAATAACAGGACAGATGCATTCCTCTTTATTTTTATGGTCCCTTTTCAGGAATTGAATATGAAATACCATGCTGATGATCAGCCTGGACCAGGCTGAGAAAACCATTATTTTAAGACAGGGAAATAGTTAGAAATGCTTTTTTTAGTTCTCACCCTTGAATCAGAAACTCCAGGGCTGATCCCATCAATCTGTTTTGACTTGCTTCTGATGAACATGAAGTTTGGGAATCAATTTCTTAGGGAACCACAGAAGAGCAAGGTAAAAGTCCCCTGAGTGTCTGGGTGACCTTTTGTAGACTGCCCATTCATTCATTTTTGTTGTTAAGGGTTTATTTACTTATTGAAAGAGTTACAGAGAAGGAGAGAGAGAGGGAGAGACAGAGACATCATCTATCTGCTGGTTCACTCCCCAGATGGTTGCAACGGCTGGGCCAGGACAAAGCCAGGAGCTTCTTCCTGGTCTCCCACATGGGTAGCAGGGACCCAAGCACTTGGGCCATCTTCTGCGGCTTTTCCCAGGTTTATCTAACTGGGAGCTGAATCAGAAATGGAGCTGCCATGAACTGGCACCCATATGGATGCCAGCATTGCAGGCAGTAGCTTTATGTTGATCAATGAATTTCTATTTTCTTTGAGCTACTGGATTTTTGCACTTTTTTTTCAGCATTTAGCAGCACTCTAAAGCCATAGTGTACCTTTTCGCTTCTCAGTTTATAACCAGATATCTTTAATGGGGAAAAAAAAATTCCTCAAAGAGCTACTAATAACCAAACACTCTTTACAGAGGAAAGGGAAAAATTGACTGGCTTTCAATTTGCTGCACCTATTATGTGCAGCAAATTGAAATCAAAAACACCGATTATACATACTCACATACAGACTCACATTCCATGTAATTTTTTCAGTCACAAAAAAACCCTTCTTAGAAATAATTAGTAATTCAGAGGTAAATCACAATCAGAATGATACTCACTTAAACGTAAATGATTTTGCAATTCATCATATTCTAAAACGAAAAGTCACATTCTTATTTATTTGCTAGCATGCAATTTAAAATTACAATAAATATTTCATAAGATCATATTATGCTTCAGAAACTGCAAAGGGAAGTAGAAAAACAAAGATGATTAAGAGATAAAAACTGCCCTAAATTAGCTTACAGTCTCATGAGATAATAGCAGTTGTTTTGCTAGAAGCACATTAGGAGTTACTTGGTTCACAATAACTGCCTTAACCCATTTTTTTAAACACTGTATTGCGTATATTTAAGGCATGCAGCATAATCTTATGGGATCCATATTGAGAGTAAAATGGTTACTATAGTGAAGTAAATTAAAATATCCTTCATCTCACATAGTTACCTATTTGGGTATGTGTTTTTTTGTCTGTGTGTTTGTGTGTGTGTGTGACAAGTAGTTAATATCTACTCATTTGGAAGGAATTTCAGATACAGTGCAGCTTAATTACCTGTAGTCTTAACGCTGTACATTGGATCTCTAAATTTGTTCATTTTGTGTATCTGCTACTTTGTATCTTCTGACCTATATCTACCCACTTCTTCCTCACCCTCTCCTACCCTTTGTAACTTCTATTTTATTCTATCATTCTATATATTTGGGTTTTTAAAAACCCATATGTAAGTGAGATCATGTAATAGTTTTCTTTCTGTTTGGCTCATTTAGCACAATGTCCTCCGGTTCTATCCATGTTGTGGTACATGGCAGGATCTCCTTTTTTGTAAGGTTGAGTAGCATTCCATAAACAGGAATTGTTGGGTTGTATGGTAGTACACTAATGCTACATTTTTGCATAATTATTTCTTTATCTTACAGTTAATGTTGATTAAATTGTTTATTGATATTATTTACATGTTATAAAATATCTTCATTTTCAGCATAAATTTCTTTGCTGAAAGTGATGTATAAGGATGTGGGGTAAAATAAAGGGGAGAGAGATCCAACATGGGAAGTGAGATACTCAGCAGACTCATAGAATGGCAGATGTCCTAAATAGCACTCTGGCCTCAGAATCAGCCCTAAAGGCATTCGGATCTGGCTGAAAAGCCCATGAGAGTATTTCAGGCATGGAAAGCCAAGACACTCTGGCAAAAGATCTCTGTGAGTGAGATCCCAGTGGAAAGAACAGGTCATCAAAGAAGGAGGTACCTTTCTCTGAAGGGAGGAGAGAACCTCCACTTTGACTATGACCTTGTCTAAACAAGATAAGAGTCGGAGAACTCAGAGGGCTTCCATAGCCTTGGAAACTCATGACTGGAGCATAGGGAGATTACTGATGCCATAGACAGGAGTGTCAATTGGTAAAGTCAACAACAGGAGTCACTGTGCACTTACTCCTCATGTAGGATCTCTATCCTTAATGTGCTGAACATTGAGACTTAATGCTATAACGAGTACTCAAACAATATATTTCACTTTGTGTTTCTATGGGGGTGCAAACTGTTGAAATCCTTACTTAATGCATACTAAACTGATCCTCTGTAAAAAAAAAAAAAAAAGAAATTATCAATTCCCAACTTGACTCTCACTGGGATTAAACATGACAATAGGTCTGATCTGATTTCATCATCATTTAAAAAAAAAATCATCTATTATTTTTCACTTTATGTTTCTGTGTGGGAGCAAACTGTTGAAATCCATACTTAATGTATACTAAGCTGATCTTCTGTATATTAAAATAATCGAAAATGAATCTTGATGTGAATGGAAGGGGAGAGGGAGTGGGAAAGGGGAGGGTTGTGGGTGGGAAGGACGGTATGGGGGGGAAGCCATTGTAATCCATAAGTCGTACTTTGGAAATTTATCTTCATTAAATAAAAGTTTAAAAAAAAAGTATAAAGCAATTAAGGGATTTTGGAGAGTAATAGTTCTCTGAATCCTGACTGTGATGTTTACTATGTGGTCTCCGACAAGTTAAGCTCTCCAAAGTTTAGTTTTCTTATCTCTAAGGTGGTGACAATAGCACCTACTTGGTTGATTCTTTGATTTTTGTGAGAACTAAATTCATTCTGCCAAATTCCTTGAACCTATTGCTTTTTCTTGATGCCTACATTTCTTGATACTTACTTACTCCTGGGTCTCATCCTGTTGCTAACACTGAAATTCTCATTACCAAGGTCACTCTGCCATCTAGGTTGAAAGACAATGAACATATTTCTGTTATTTGTCATATTTGAACTTTATAAAACAGTATTACCAAAGTCAGACTGGTGTCAAGGTTTTTAGAAAAAATGGACATATTTCAGCCTTTATGGTGTTGAAACATTCTGTAGTAATAAGCAATATACTCCTTTGTCTAGAGGTTTGTATGTGTGTATATGTGATCGTGTGTGTGTGTGATCATTCTCTTCTGTTTTTCAAGATCCTTGATTATGTCTTCTGAGTCTTCCGTCAGCAACTTCTCCTCCTCTCTCTGCCATTAAATGATTATGACTTTGTTTTTCCTAATTAAGTAGTGTGCACGTGTGCTTATGTACTCCTGTGCCACCACACATATTCTCTCTCCAACATGTTATCTCTCAGTTGATTCCGGCAACAGATAGGATTTGTATCCCATGCCACATGCATGTATGACACATGATGTCATGCAGATATGGAAACATTTTTGGGCATCTCTTGTTAAGATACTACCTTTTCTGCTTTAGGGCTTTCTTCAGAGATGTGAGGCAATGCCCACCCTGAATCAGGCCAACTGAATTAGTTTGGTTGAGTTCCTTGACTGTGTTGGTTGTTGTCCCTTTCTGTTGCACGTGGTGGTGACTCTTCTCTGCTTTCTAATTCCCGAAAATTCTTTGAATTTCAGCTTAATTGTTTTGTCCCCAGGAAGTTATTCCTTGACCACATTACTGTGTACTCCCACATTATAGGACCTTTCATAGCTGTCATCCCATGTTACATTGTTTGTTTCATGCCAGAACAAGAACTCTGTGAGGAGAATGCTGATGCACACTCTGAATCTCAGTTCGCTATAAAGCAACCTTCCACCAAGCACTGTTGAACGGTAATGGAGTTTTTAGTTTGAATTGAATTAAAATAGAAAGGAGTAAGATCAGGTTTAATAGCTGCAACGGTACCTTTTGCTTCTTATTTTCTGATGAAATTTTCAAAAACAAATCATACTTCAAAGAAAATTATGAAAGAATAAAGTAGAGAGACATTGATGTTTACAAAAGGAAGCAAGCCAACTGGATGCGTGAGCATATATGGGCTGAAGGGTTTTGCTAGGGTATTGCCACAGAGCAACAACTCTCTCTTTTAAATGAAAAACTTTAATTTTGAATTTATGAAACACTATTTTTCTTTTAATCACTAGCCTTGTTCCATTGCCTTTTATGTGAACAAATAGTTTCCTATAACTTAATGATTGAGGGGATTCTTGTATTAAACTCCCTGGAGTAACATGACACTTGTGATAGCAGTTACCTAGGAAGTCAGGGAGAACAGAGGAAGAAAGCAGGGTCTTTGTATCACTGAGGGTTTTCTGTAACCATGGTTTCACGTTTGCAGATTCACCCAAGAGTGGGTAGAATATACGAGGATAAAATTACGTCTGTACTGACATGTGCTGACACATTTCTTATCATTATTCTCTCCACAATATAGTGTAACAATTATTTACATAGCAATTACATTATGTTAGGTATTGTAAGTAATATGGAAATGAACTAAAGCATACAGGAGGATATTTGTGGGTTATATTAAAATATTACCCCATTTTATTTAAAGAATTTAGTGCCCATGGATTTTGGTATCCATGGGGGTCCTAGAACCAATCCCTCATGGAAACAAAGTGAAAGCTCTATTTAAAATTCTGTGAGTCTAATTTAACTTCATAAGTATTTTTTTTTTCTCTACTAGAAGCAGTTTTTCCAGCTAGAGCAATGCTTAATGAAAACTGTGCCTTGGGCAAATTGTTTTGGGGATTTGGACACTGCAGCAACTAGCTGAGATAAAAGGACACTGAGTAGAACATTTGTTTCCCCCTGACTTATAATGAGTGGATAGTCATGGTAAATAATATTCGTTTTATTTAACCAACTATCTATTCCATCTAACATGTTATATTAATTGTTGGTGATACTTTGGATTTGATACAATAACATCATAGAGTAAAAAGCATTTCCATTTCAATTTTTGAAGGTTATTAGCTTGCTTAAACCTCATTTATACACCTTACATTCTTCAAAATAGCATTTAATTTCTTATTAATGATATATTGGCATTGAAAATGACCCAAGGGAGTATGAACACAAGTGACTTTGATCCTGAAAATCAGTTGAAGAAGCACACCTTAGGTATGACAAGTAATTGTCAGGAAAAAAGCATGTAAGAGAGACTGCAGGAAAAGCAGGAGTGACCAAAGGGCTTCTAAATATTAATACGCACCACAAGAAATGTTGTGGAATGGATATAAAAATGTCCATAACTATTTTTAAGTGTCTCTAGAAATGGGATTAGAGAAAGGGGGTAGTGGTGGTTGGGTATAATAAGGTCAAAAGAAGACTCAATGTGGATGATCTGGTGGGAAAGATAAGAAAGATAGAAGGAAGGAAATGGGTGAAGAAATGTTTTCACTAGGGAATGTGTGGTATATGTGAGGGGCTTGATCATTAATACAGGTGGGGATAGTCCATTCACTGCCCAAGAGGAAGACCGAGCAGAGAGCTCAGGGCTATTGGGGTGCTAGTTGTAGTGGGAGTTTACAGAAAGCCTCTTCTGGTCCTTTGAATTTTTAGTAAGTGAGAAGAGAAAAAGTAAGTGCTGGAAAGCAAGTGATAAAATGTAATTTAGCTGAGAGGGGAGAGTAAAAATAAAGTTGAAAAACATAGAAAGTATTTTAAAAAAAAGTAAAATGCATGCACATGCCCACACACATATTTACATGTAAAGAGAATACTGAAATTTAAAAATTAAGTCAAAATGTCAGGTGCCAAATGATACATGGATTACTATGGCATTTATGTAATTTTAAAGGACTCATCCATGTTTACAGGTAAATGTACGCAAAGCAAAAATAAAATATGAAACAGGAGTGTAAAAGCCAAAATGTTAGCTTTTTTTTTTAAAAAAAAAAAAAAAGTCTTTTAGCGGTCTGGTGTTGTGGCATACCAGGTTAAGTCACCACTGTGAGGCCATTATCTCATAACACAGTACCAGTTTGAGTCCTGGCTACTATACTCCCCATGTAACTTCCAGCTAACGTGCCTAGGAAGGCAGCGGATGATGGCCCATGTAGCTGGACCTTGGTCACCCACTTGGGAGACAAGGAGGGGGTTCCTTGCTCCTGGCTTTAGCCTGGGCCAAACTTGGCTGTTGCAGGCATGTGAGGAGTGAACTAGCGGATAAAACATCTCTCTCATACTCTGTGATGCTGGCTTTCAAATAAATAAGCTTTAAAAAATTCTATTTCTTAACTGTCCCAAAATAAAGATATTTATCAAAGATGAAAAACTGTTAGGAATGATGGCAGAGACAGAAGTAAAAACATATATTCTATTGTGTGTACATTATTTTCTAGAACAAAATGCATATGAAATAGAAAAGTTGATAGAGACAAAATTGCCAAATTTTATACTGAATCTTAAAAATATCCATTCCAAAATTAAATATTTATTCTAACAAAATAATTAATGCTATTAATTTAGAAAAATCTTTTCATGTGTCCATAGTTTATACATAAGATTGTATCATTAATAAATTATATTATCAAAATAATTCTATTATCAAAATAATACAGATAACATCTTTCTAGAAAGATGTAAACAAAACAAAACGTATAAGGAAGGTTAACATTGCCAGAAATAATTGAAAAATCCAACTATTCAAAAACTTGTCAGTATTTTCCCAATGAAAATAAAATTGAGAATTATAAAATATTAAAAATATCATGTTAATGAGGACAATTCCAAGGAAAAAACCATGTTATATAGTAACATTTGCATTTAAAAATGTACTAGTAAATTTATCTTGCTTTGTTTTCAAATAAGAAAGATAGGACAAAGACAGGAAGATATAAAGGAGGAAGAAAGAAAAACAAAAGAGGGGAAGAGTTGAAGGGCTGGTTTTTTACTCAGCTCAGAAGATAGGGAATAATGAAACAACTCCAAGGACTCAGGAAAACAGCACAATTGTTGATATTGACCTATGACGCATTAGAACCATAGAAAGGCTATATAGATAATACATATCTCAACTCTGAATTATTAATACAAACTGACAAACCTTAGTAAAGCTAATTGAAAATAAAATGAATACTGGGAATAAAACATTGTATTATACTGCAATTTGTACAATATGAAGATTTTGTCTGTTTGATTTGGTATCATATATCTAGATCTCAGATCAGTCTGGCATTTAGCAGCTCTCAAAACATCTTTGTTTTTTTTTTTTTTTTAAGATTTATTTATTTATTTGAAAGAGTTACACAGAGAGAGGAGAGGCAGAGAGAGAGAGAGAGGTCTTCCATCCGCTGGTTCACTGTACAATTAGCTGCAAGGGCAGAAGCTGCGCTGATCCAAAGCCAGGAGCTAGGCACTTCTTCCAGGTCTCCCACGTGGGTGCAGGGGCCCAAGGACTTGGGCCATCTTCTACTGCTTTCCCAGGCCATAGCAGAGAGCTGGATTGGAAGTGGAGCAGCTGGGTCTCGAACCTGTGCCCATATGGGATGCTTCAGGCCAGGGCGTTAACCCACTGCGCCACAGCACC